CAACCTGAGGATGACTGATGAGTGGACCCATGCCTCCCACCTGCACCTCAGAGTCCTCACCCAGTTAGCCTGGGTCTAAGCCAGCTGTCCAGTTCCACCCAGCAGGTTAAGCTGGGGTTTAAAGGAAGCAAGCCCCCCCAAGAGATACGGGGCATCTCTCTGCCCCTAGGAAGGGGGCAGGTGGCAGGGGCGGTTTATTAGAGTATTAGAAAAGAATATAAAAATGGAACGGTGCTTTAGGCCCCACTGACCTTGGTTTAGTTTTTCGGGCCAAGGGCAGGCAGCAACGTTTTAGGAACCCCCCCCCCACACACACAGCTCCGACCCCAGGGCCCTCCCCGCCCCGCCCCACAGGCCTGGCCCTCCCAGGCCCGGCAGGGACCTCCTCGTTTCCCGGATGGCGGTCACGGGTCCCGCTGGGCCGCCGAAGTCGCGATCTCTGGGTGTCAGGGCGCAAGCAGGCCGCGGGCAGGGAGGCCGGCGCCGGGGAGGAATTTCTTTATCGGGATTTGAGAGTCGCAAGCTTCTCCTTCGCTTCTTTAAGCGATCCCAGAAAGACACCTTTCGATCTTTTGTCAGACATCTTGGCCCTTAATAGCTAAATTTATTTGGTTTAAAGCGGCCATAGACGCAGGGAGGGAAAAATCTTTCGTCGGTCAATGGGTGGCCCAGATAACGAGCTTTAAAAGAGGGAAGAAGAAAGTAAAAAGGTTAATGGATGAGGGGGGCAGGAGGCGCCCAGCGTGGGGCTTTTACAGCGACCCTCTCCCGGCCGCCCCCTTATCGCGGCCCTAACTTACCCGCGGCGTATGAAGTACATTAAGTCACGTAAACAGCGCGCCGAGAATGCCACCGCGGTGACCTTTCGTGCGCCGCCGCCGCCGCGCGCCCACCTCTGCGCCGTGCTGGCGACCGGCGGCCTGAGGCTCCCCGGGCTGCGCCCTCGGTCCCCGCTTCCCGCGGCCCAGGGGGCGGGGAGCCCGGCGACCTTCGCGCTTCCGCCACCACCTGACAGCCCCGGACGAACTGCGGGCCTCCCAGCACTGAAAATGGAAGGGAGGGGACGGAGGGAGAAAAAGGAAAGAAAAGGCAGAAAAAGGGAAGGAAGCGAAGTCAGCATGGAAAGGAGGAGAGAGGAGAAGGAGGAAGCAAAAAAGAAAGGGAAGATGAAGGAAAAGTAAAGAAGGGAGGGAGGGAAAGAAAGAAAAGGGAGAAAGCAAAGAAGGGAAGGAAGGAGGAATGAAAGGAAAGATGAAGGGAAAGAGAAGGAAGAAATCAAAGGAAGGGAGAGAGAAGAAAGAAAAGGAAGAAAAATGAAAAGTAAAGAAGGAAGGGAGGGAAAGAAGGAAGAAGGAAAGAAGGAAGGGAGGGAAAGAAGGAAGGACAAAGAAGGAAGGGAGGAAGGAAGGAAAGAAAGGAGAGGAAGGGGGGAGGAAAATCGCGGCAAGTCAGTCTTCTGGTGGCCTGCATTGGACTGACCGCCGCTGAATGGGGCACATGTCTATTGGGCCTGGACGCTTGGCGGGAATGAGGGGGTGCCAAGGTCACGGTGACAGCGTCCCCGGAGACAGAAAATATGGAATAAGCGAGAGGGCCCCATAAATCTGTTCTTTAAAAGACTATGTTTTAAGCCAGAAATTGTATTCCTTTTTCTTTCTGTAACGTCTCCGGAGCAGGCAAGAGCTTTGTGAAATGACAATGACAATATAGTGAGCTCGAGTTTGCGGGGGTAAAGGTGTGTGGTGACGCAGGGGTCTGCCGCTCCTCTGGAAGCCGCACGCCACCCAGTCCCCAAACACCCCTTGAGTTTGGGCAGCAGAACCCCGCCCCTTGCCCAATTGGCTACTGTGCTCTGGCTGGATTCGAATGTCGATGTGGCCGAATAAATGAGCCCTGGGGACAGGCCGCGCCCCGGAACCAACCCTCTCTAAGGACGAAGAGGACTGCTTGTCTCCAAGGGGCCTCACCTTGGATCTAAATAATCCCGAGAGAAACGGTTTCGTTCAAGATTAGCAAATCCCAAAAGAGGAGATGGGAGGAGAGAGAAAAGAAAAAGAAATTAAAGAAGAAAAAACGCTTAGGAAAACAAAACAAAACAAGAGCCTGAAAGAGAACATCTGTCTACTTGAAACACTATGGGGACCTTCTCTAGCTCCCGGGTGTCTCCCCAGGTTAGGACACGTCTTTCTCCCCCGCACCCCGGATCCGGCTGGCGCTCCAGACCAGGGAAGGCGCAGGGAGGAAGCGCAGTGAGCGGGCCTGGGGCCCTTGGAAAACGTGCCTCTGTCGCGGGGGCGTCGTTTCCAGCAACAGAGCCCCCGCCTCGGAAAAAAGGCAAATCGGAGCAGTGAGGCATTTGGTTTTCTCTCCTAATCAGTAGTGCAGGTTAAACAGTTTTGTTTTTAAATCAACTGACATGAAAAACACTTTATCCATTCCCTCGTTTAGTTGGAAAACCAGTCTTAAAAAAAAAAAAGTAGCAATTTTTGGTCCTGAAAAGGAACAATTGCCTAGTTTTCTCCTTTGTTTTGGACACTATTACAGTGATTGGGAATCTGGAAGGTAAAATACTGGGTCCCTTTCCCGAGCCCTTAGAGCCCGAATGTTGTCGAATCCGTCAGCGTCCGTCCTGCCGCGCACCTCTGTCCCCGCGGCGCCAGGGCCAGCGTGCCCTCCTAAAGGGGCTGCCAAGCTGCGGGAAGGGCAGGTCAATGGGGTTCGTTATTGTCCCAGAAAGGCCACTCAGACACCCTCATAGTTGCAAACAGAAAGCGACACACTGGACAGGAACCAGGCTCGCGCCGAGGCTCGATTTTCTCGGGGGTCAGGCTTAGAGGCCATTCACAGCCTGGACGCAAACGCTCCCGGCATTTATTATATTATCATCATCGTCGTCATCGTCATCATTATTTTAAGCAAATATGAGCTTTAAATTTTTTCTTTTAATAGCAAACTTAAGAACATTTCAAAACCAGTTGGATTCAAAGGAAATGAAGTGTCCAGAAGATTAATGTAACTGCTTACAAATATGCTTTGTAGAACCCAGTCCACTAAAAATTTCGGTCGGAACTCACCAAAAAACCAAAAGCAAGATATTTGAAGCCAAAGTGGGAATTTAGGGGCGGGCCGACGCCGGATATCTCTTCTGGTAGTTGCATTCGATCGAAGTCGGGTTAAAATTTAAAACCTCTGGATCCTGTTCCAGTCGTCCGCCTCTCCATTCCAGAGTTTTCTACCTTCAGCCTTTCGGAAATGCGGCCACACTGAAACTGGGAGCCGCCGCAGTGATTGGGGAAAGCAAAGAGGAATGTAATAAAAGTGACTAAATTGGACGAGAACGGTTTATGGACCTTCTCAGTAGCAATTTAAAATTCAGAAGTGTTCAGCAGCATTTTACAACGAAGAAAGAAAAAAAAAGGGAATTCTCGCCAAGTTCCTGGATTCCGCGCCCCCTCCCCCGCACAGCCAAGCCCTTTCCCCTTCCCCACCTCCCCACCCCGGGATCCCCAGGTTCACAACTCAGGGTGCCCTTCGCTACATGGTCTCCGTCTCCCGAAATCACACTTCACAAAGCAGCAACCTACCCCCGTTCAACTCTGCTGAGGCGCCTCTTCCTTCCCCTACGGGAAAAACCACAAAACGATCAAAACAAAACCAGAAACCAGAGCGCAAAGTTTTCAGAAAGACTGGCTTTTTAGAAAATAATTTACCTCGATTTACCTGGGGAAGGGGGGAGAAAAAAGTGTAAAAATCCATTCCTATAAGACAGCTGGTCCTGCCCTAGTTAAATCCTCTCTGGCAGCCTTCTGGGGTCACGCCTGTCGGAAGAAATCCTTTTTGTGAGCGAAAGGGAGCGAGACATATATCACAGCTCCTGCCGCGGACGAGCCGCGCGCGACTCTCTGCTGACAGATCGGCGCTGATAACCTCGCGATGTTCGTTTCCAGTCCCTTGGCCCGCTAAGGATCATATCAGTTTGTACACAGTTGTGATAACTGTTTGGAGAGAGCAAAGAAGGGGTGTGTATGTGACGGTGGGGGTGGGGACGCGGTAGTTCCTTCTGGCTCCAGGGAAGGCACCCCCCCCTTTTCCAACGACTTATCTATGACTTACCTGAAGTCCAGGGAAAGCTCAGAGGAACCGCGACAACAAAACTCAAGAGAGCGTCCCTGGACACGACTGGTATAGAGGAAGCCCTTTTCCATCCTGTGCCCATATACGCACCTCCGAGACTTAACCTCTGTGTACATGACGACCACGAGTTTAAAGTTCCCAAAGGTTAGCTGGGGAATGTCATCGTGAACTTCCCGAAACTTCCCAGAAATTTAGCATACGTTTTAACAACAAGAGAGAGGTAAGGCGTGGGCACCCGAACTTTTTTTTTTTTTTTTTCCAGATCGTAAGAGCCCCATCCCCGACGGCCACTGGGACCTGAGCCCTAGCGTCCCGAAATGGGATCGGGGAAAGTTTAAGGTCGGGGACACAACTGCGGAGCAAAAGGCTCATGTAATGTGGAGGAAGGAGCGAGGAGGGCCTACGGGACAAAGCACTTCCCTCCTTCGTTTTGGGGGCGCGCTGACCCTAGAGCTGGCGCGCCCCTCCGTCCGCGCGGCGAAGCGGGGCTGTCCACAGTGAACGCCTCCCTTGCCAAGGCTCCCTCCCCTTCCCCGGTGTGGGCGTGTGTGTAACTGGGGGCGCAAGAGGGTGCTCCTCGGCTGGATGGGTGTGGATAGCCAGCCAGGTCGGGCGTCCTGTCTCCGCCCCTCCCCCGTCGTCCCGGGGCTCGGCGCCCCCTGGGTGGACTCGCCCCCACTCCCCGGACAGTGCTAGAGGCTCAGCCCACGCCCGCAGGCTGCGCCGCGCTCATTGTCTGCTGGGGCGGCGCGCTCCCCTCCCCCTCGCTGTCCCCTCCCCACCACTTTTCTCTCCTCCCCTTGATCCCTCCTCCTCTTCACCTCCGCGCCCAGCTGCCCGCAGCGCGCAGTTCCGACCCACAGCCTGGCACCCTTCGGCGAGCGCTGTTTGTTTAGGGCTCGGTGAGTCCAATCAGGAGCGCAGGCTGCAGTTTTCCGGCAGAGCAGTAAGAGGCGCCTCCTCTCTCCTTTTTATTCACCAGCAGCGCGACGCAGACCCCGGACTCGCGCTCTCCCGCCGGCTCCCTCGGCCTCTCTCCGCGCCCGGGAGCACCCTCCGCCGCAGCCGTTCTCCATGCGCAGCGCTCATCCGAGGTTCGGCTGCTTCCTCCTTTGCTTGCTCTCCCTTCTCTACTCCCTTCCACCCCTACCAGTCGCGGGCCCCTTGGCCTCCGGCTTTCGGGCCCTTTCCCGGTCGCGATCGGCTCCGAGGGTGTCTCCCTCGTCCCCTCCTGGAGAGCTGCAGCGGCTCCCAGGTTCCCGGGACACCGCGTACCAACTTCTGGTGTCTTTTCCTCTCTCCTAAGTGCTTATCTGCGCGTAGCCTTATCTCCGAGTTATCTCAGCGCAAAGGGGCGGGAGCCGGTAGTCAGGCCGGCAGAGAAACTTCTTTCTTGCTATCTTGCCCAGGTCTGTGTGTGGGCATTAATTTTAGTGTGGTTATCTCCGATGAGCCGAAGCGATTTCGAAAAGCTGCCCGGAGGAGGCCCGCCCGGCTGCATTTTGCCTCCTTCCCCACCCCCTCCAAGTCTCCCTGTCATTCTTCCTGCTCTCCCCTTTGGGGTGGCCTCAGCTCTGGGGCGGTCTCACGCCCCCCCCCTTGCGCTCCCCCCTCCTTTTCTCTGCGCTCTGCTCCACCCCGCTACGTCCGATTCCGGAACGGTCTGGCCTTTCCGCGGTTGGGGATGACCGTGGGGTGGGCCGGGGTGGCCCGGCCGGCGTGAGTGCGCGCGCGCTGGTGGCTGCAGGCGTGGGCTGAGTTTAAGGTGTGAGGCCCGCGGGGAATCGGGTGGGCGTGAGACTCCTGTCCCGCGGGTTTCCCGCACTACTCCTGTCCGGAAGATCCGGGACAGCCATCTCTGCCCTGGCACCCCGCTTTCCATGGGCTGAGTGGTACTTCTCTGGGGTTCGCGTTCGATCTGGGAGCACGGTCCGGAAGCTTGGGAAAACGCGGCGGTTTCGTTTTCGGGGACAGGTTGCCTTTGCTAACGATTTCACGCAGAGACTTCTCAGGCCGAGGCATTCGTGAGAGGGGCACTCACAGGGACCCGCACAGCTACTTAAATTCTTTTGTGTGTCATGGGCCCGAAGGGGGACATAATGGGGTGGAAGGAAAATTTCGGCGGACTTCGCCGTCACTCCTGGGATCTGGCGCGCGTGCGGAAGGAAGGATGCTGTCCAGGGGGTAGGCGGGGTGGGCGCAGGGATCCAAGCTTTGCGGGTGAGGAAGAGACGGGTATGTAGGACTTGCCTCCGAGGACGCAGTGACTGGTGCGTAGGCTCCGTTTTTGCCCCGCGCCCTGGGCAGAAACAGGACCGTTGAGTTTAAGAGGGTGTGGAGGTGAGGTGTGGCGGTCAGCCTGCGCTTTTGGTAAGCCTTTTTTATCTCTCTCCCCTTCCCTGACCGCCCCCCCCAACCCCGCCTCAGGAGCTAGAAGCCAGCTTGGAGCGGCGCCGGACGGTGGATGGCCTTGACTGACGGCGGCTGGTGCCTGCCGAAGCGCTTCGGGGCCGCGGCTGTGGACACAGGCGATTCCCGGCCCTTTTCAGCGCGGGAGCCCTCTTCGCCTCCTTCCCCTATCTCCTCCACGTCTTCCTCCTGCTCCCGGGGCGGAGAGCGCGGTCCCTGCGGCACCGGCAACTGCAGGACGCCGCAGCTCGACACAGAGGCGGTGGCGGGACCCCCGGCTCGCTCGCTGCTGCTCAGCCCCTACGCCTCGCATCCTTTCGGGGCTCCCCACGGACCTTCGGCGCCCGGGGTCGCCGGCCCCGGGAGCGCCCTGTCTAGTTGGGAGGACCTGTTGCTCTTCACTGACCTCGATCAGGCCGCGACCGCCAGCAAGCTGCTGTGGTCCAGCCGGGGCGCCAAGCTGAGCCCCTTCGCACCCGAGCAGCCGGAGGAGATGTACCAGACCCTCGCCGCCCTCTCCAGCCAGGGACCGGCCGCCTACGACGGCGCGCCCGGCGGCTTCGTGCACTCGGCGGCGGCGGCCGCGGCGGCCGCGGCGGCGGCCAGCTCCCCGGTCTACGTGCCCACCACCCGCGTGGGTTCCATGCTGCCGGGCCTGCCGTACCTGCAGGGCGCGGGCAGCGGGCCCGCCAACCACGCGGGGGGCGCGGCCACGCACCCCGGTTGGCCCCAGGCGTCCGCCGACAGCCCCCCGTACAGCAGCGGAGGCGGCACGGCTGGCGGCGGGGCCGCGGGACCTGGCAGTGCGGGTTCGGCCGCGGCGCACGCCTCGGCGCGCTTCCCCTACTCGCCCAGCCCGCCGATGGCCAATGGCGCGGCGCGGGACCCCGGGGGCTACGCGGCTGCGGGCGGCGGGGGCGCGGGCAGCGTGAGCGGCGGAGGGGGCGGCCTGGCGGCCATGGGCGGCCGGGAACACCAGTACAGCTCGCTGTCGGCGGCGCGGCCGCTGAATGGGACGTACCACCATCACCACCACCACCACCACCCGAGCCCTTATTCGCCCTACATGGGTGCACCGCTGACGCCCGCCTGGCCCGCGGGACCTTTCGAGACCCCCGTGCTACACAGTCTGCAGAGTCGTGCGGGAGCCCCGCTGCCCGTGCCGCGGGGCCCCAGCGCAGGTAAGGGTAGCGCCGCACTGGGGATGCTGGGGCGCGAGGGGGTGTGCAGCGGCTGGATTTGCGGGCTGGTGGCGCTGATGCGGTGATGCCTCGGTGCCTTGGAGAAATGGGGGGCTTGGTGAATAGCGACTGGGGATGGCAACTGGGAAAAGAGAGGAGTCTGGGAGGTTGCTGATTCGCTACTCATACTAGATTGGAAGAGAGGAAGAGTGAGATTACCCCACGGTGGGGTAAATTGGGGAGACTATCACCCTCTTTCCAGGGGCACAAAGTCTCATCCAGTTTCACTTCCAAAGACAAAGACTTGGTGTGTGTTTCAGGAGGACAGTATTTCATTTCACTCCACCACAGTAAAGGACCTAGGGCCTAGGGATCCAGTAGGTATCCTTCTCCCCTCAAGGGACAGAGGGAAAGCAAAGATAGGAGGACACCAGATTAGTCAGCCTCCTGACTATCCTGAGGGACGGTGGAGGGGCCTATAGGTTTAGCATCACGTTAGGCGGTGGTCTGGGGTTGCTGCTCTCGTGGCCAAGCTGGGACCCTGGGATCCTGGAGCTGGGCACTTCAGAGTTTAGCCAACCAGTTTTTCAGTTTCCAGTTCCACTTACACTTTCCTTCTGGTGTCTGGGGACCATTTGAGGCTAAACTGGGAAAACAAAATCGCCAAATACTTGGAAATACTTCATTTTGGAAAGTGTTGGATTCTGCTGTAGCAAGGAAGAGTGTGGGCCGTGTTTGGTTTCTTTTCTCTGCTGCAGCTTTCAAGTCTTCTTGGTGTGTTCACAGGTCTCTCTTACCTGATATTTTGCCTTTTTGACAACCTTTTGTCTAAGGAAAAGCAAAACTTTTTTGTTGTTTGAGGGGAATGTGGGGGAGAGCCCAGAGTCAATCACAGAAGTAGAAAGGAAAAGGGAGGCACATCAGTCCTACCCAGGTGTCTTTGTGCCCAGGTCTGGACTTACCCTGGGAGCCTCAATGTCCTTTTAGGGGCTTGATTAGTTAGGTATGATGGGGCGTTGCCCACCTTGTGTTCAGAAGAGTGCTAGAAGTGCTAGTGCCGGAAAGTGAAGGAACTGATTTGAACAGCTCCCTGCTAGTAACCTTGGGAGAAGACTGCGGACTAACTTGTATCTCAGATGTCACTCTTTTTCCTTCTGCTGCCCTAGAGAGCTCTAGAAGGATTTTCACCCTCTGTGCGTGGAGCCTGGGGCAGAGTTGATGTGCCCTGTTAGGATTTGAGAGAGCAGAGGACTGTCACTTTTTCCTCTATATAGTGACCCATGTTTGACTCCCAAGAGCAGAAGGTGGGAGACTAGAAATCTAGAATGGGAAGGGCGTAGTAGGTTGGGCTTTGAAGCTTTTGTCAGTTTAGGGGGTCCTTGTCAGGAATTCCACTGGCTGCATTGTGCATGTGCGAGGGGTGGGGGTACAGTTTGAGCTTGACCCTGCTCTGCTGTTCTCCACACACCTTAGCTTGACCTCCAGGTTCCTTTCCCCTAGGCTGACAGCTTGTTCAGTGACCTAGACCTAGTCCAAAGACGGAACCGAGGCTTCAGATGTTGACAGTAACGGTTCTGTTTGAGAAATCCTTTTAAAGCATGATACCGATGCAGGCAGGGTGGAAGTTTCCTTTTACTTTACATGCAGCCCATGCTATCCTTTTTTCATCTTCTGGGCACAACACTGCAAATTTGGAAAATCTTCTTTTGTAGACTCAGTGTGCTTAAAAATAGGATAGGTGGTGAAGGTATTTGGGGTTATACAGATTTTGCGTGAAGAGCTTGTTAAGAAAGCCTGGTATTTGGGGCGAGAGGGTGAGGTACCCTAACTTTGCTTGTCCACACAGGTGTTCTAATGCCAGCTTGTAGCTAGATTTCCTGGTTTTTCACTTGCATTTGTTTTTCTTCTAACACACCATTTTTGAAGGCAGACTCTTTAATTGATTTGAGCAAACACCAGCACTAAAACCCGTGTGCTGTGCTTTATCAACCCAGAGGCTTCTGGAAACTCACTCCTGCCCCTCTCCCTCACTGGATGGGTGGGGTGGACTCACTCCCTGCCCTGATGTTCTCCTAAGTGCACAAAGAACTGCTCCATTTGCTGGCCCCTGGGACCACACTTCCAGGGACAACTCATGCAGCCACTTAGGACAGAGTCAACCTTCTAGCACAATCACTTTTTGTCACTTTTATAAAACTGTTTTTCCCCCCTCCCATTTAGAGTTAGAGAGTTGTTACTGGCCAGTGTGGGGGAGAAGTAGAAAAAGAATGAGAAAACTTATTGTCTTAGATTTTGTTTGTCCAAATAAGTGGACTTTAAATTTTGTCTTTGGGTTTTCAGATGTCTAAGAAGTTCTACCTGGGGCCCTCACTGTCTTCTCCTGGGAGCCTGCCCTTATTTTCCCTGCAGAGGGGAAGCAGGCCAGGGACAGAGCTGGGATTTCCAGGGAATGCCCCACTCTAGGAGAGGGGCTCTGCTAGGTAACATTTTAAAGTCAACAACAAAGACAAATACCTTGTTTAACTTCAGTGTCCTTGAAGTCCTGAGCGTTTTTACTGATTGCCCAGTCAATAGTGGCTTTTAGGGAGGAGAAGAATAAATCTTTGTGAAGTGTTGTAAGTTGCAGTGTCCCCATGACAACTTTGAACTCCACTCCGTGTAGGATGCTAGTTTCTTTTAAACCTAAGAAATAACTCAAGAAAATGAGGAAGGACACTTGTTTTGTAGGGTAAATGTTTTCAATAGATTAAAGCATTTTAATGCTAAACTCATACTTAAATAGCTTTGCCATACTGTTGATGGTAGACACAAACTTTAAACTGAGAAGAAAAAGGGATAGAAAGGTTTGCTGGCATACCTAATCTTGAAATAAACCGCTAAAGTGTAATGTTTATTTACTTTAAAATGTGATTCAGAAATACCTCCTCAAAAATACCAAATTAGAATGTTTAAACCCTCTATAACAGAAACAGTCTTAAATAGTAGGAGACATTTATTTTTTAAGTCTATATTTAATAAGTACCTATCTCATTTTAGAGAATCAGACACTTATTTTTTCATATTTAATCTTGAGGGGAAGTAATAAATGTTATAACCATTTGTTCTTATTTAGGATGTTTTTTAGTAGGTTTAGGTTAGTTGTGAGTTCTAAAAATGAACTAAAACAACTAAAAGATGTAAAACAAACATATTTAAAATAGATCAGAAATAAAAATTTTAGTGTAGGGAAACAGATGTATTTTATGTGTTGCTAGGAAGGTCTTAGTAATTTTTGAAATCAGTAAAGTATCAACCTTTGATAAAGCCTTTACAGATAGAAATCAGAATATTTTAGTTTGATCCTTGAGGCATGAAAATAAAACAATCTGTGTGCTTAATAGTGTTAGTATTTTCTCCTCATTTCTAATTAATTGACGCAAGTGCTCCAAACAGTCGTTTTAATTTCACTTGTCTATTTTTTTAATTGGAGAAAGTAGCATAAGAAGGAAAGGTGGTGGAGATAGAAAATCCTTGGGCAAATGACTTGAGACAAAAGTTTGGAATAAGGCAGGGTGTCCTGGGATGTCTGTGGGTCGCAGCGGGGGTCAGTAGTCAGTGTTAATATTGTGTGGCGCGCTCGGTTTTGGCAAGCGATGTACTGTAATTATGATGGATTTCAGTTTTAAAAGCCTGGGGACAGCCTGAGAGGGGTCAGGGGACCACGTTGACATCCCCAGAGCTCATCTCTGGATTCGGAGGTACTCTCTTGCAGCACTGCCATGGAGTTTTCCTAGGCTTTCTACTGGGGGTGCCCTGGAAGGGGTGTGTGTGTGCAGGAGCGTGGGAAAGAAGGACAGCAGACCACAGGGACACGGTTCATCCAGGGGACTCTGGGCTTGGAGGAGGGAAAGAGGAGGAAGAGGGGGACGGGACGTTGGGGTGCCCTGCGCGGCCTCACCGGTCCTTCATCCTTGCTGTCGCCACAGACCTGCTGGAGGACCTGTCCGAGAGCCGCGAGTGCGTGAACTGCGGCTCCATCCAGACGCCGCTGTGGCGGCGGGACGGCACCGGCCACTACCTGTGCAACGCCTGCGGCCTCTACAGCAAGATGAACGGCCTCAGCCGGCCCCTCATCAAGCCGCAGAAGCGCGTGGTGAGTGCGGCCGCGCGCGGGGACGCACCGCGCTGGCCCTCGGGGACACACCGCGCGCGCGGCGCGTGGCTCCTCTTTCTAAAGTACAAAAGCTGCATCTGTGTCTCTCGCCGTGCGCGTGGCGCACGCGCGGAACTAATTCTGGAAGGATGCGCAGGTGGGGAATAGGGGTGACACTGTACCCAGCTATTGCGGGAGAAAACCGGGTCCGGTAGGTCTGTCGGGGACTCTGTGGCTCCCTTTCTCTGCCCTCGGTACATGATAGCCTCGTTCAGAGTTACTTTGTCCTTCCTACCTGGGGGTCCCTCGCCACTCCACTCCCAGGGACGATAGGTGTAGCCCCAAACTTTTGCCCCTGAATCTGATGAAAATGTATTTACTCTAACCTGGGTTATTTTGGAACTGACTGTTCAGAGAACCACAGAGAAGTTCAAATTGAGGACGTTCACAAATCTGAACACATTCTACCATCTTTTGGAAATTATTTTCGTCAGGAATCACTCTCACGTTGTCTTTGTTATGTGTGCTTATTATTAGCAAGAGACAGTATTTACAAACTAAAGCTTTCTCCACCCCTGCTCTAAGGCTAACATTTGTTTAGCCTGAATACTCACACTCTACATATCTTTTAAAGCCAAATATTTTACAGTTTTATGCCAGACATCTTAAGTATCCAAGTAATTTATTTAATTGTTACACTCTAATTAGCAGAACAAATGCTACACATGTTGGTTGTGTTAAACAGATTAGAATGAAATTGCATCACAATATAAGTCTGACACCTTAAAGAGAAGCAATTAGTTTTATGGTTGTTTTGTTTTTAATGCATTTAAAATAAAGTGGCCAAGGTTAATTTAATGTCTTAAACTTGTTCCAACCTCCCACAACTTAGATTTTTCTTTAAAAGAATTCTTAACTTCTGTGTGTAACTCTGGTTTTTCTTCTTTTTTTTTTTTCCCTCCTTTTGAGGCAGGGTCTGACTGTGTAGCCGAGGCAGGCCTTGAACTCTTATCTTTCTGAGTGCTAGGATTATAGACATGCCCACCATTGCCCAGGCATGCCCACCATGCCTGACTGTTTTTCATTATTATTATTATTTGAGGTACTAGGATTTGACCTCAGGGCCTACACCTTGAGCTATTCTATCAGCGCTTTTTTGTGCTGGGTATTTTTGAGATAGGGTCTCAAGGGGCTGGCTTCAAACCACAATCTTCCTGATTGAGCTCTACCTCTGAGTAGCTAGGATTACAGGTATGAGTCACCAGCGTCCGGCTTCAGTATTCTTATATGCATCATATTAAAAAAACCGAAAAAGTAGTAAGTAGGGAAATGTTCCAAGGAAGTTCCTTGTTTCATGATTGCCTGAACAATGAAATTACTATTTTTTTTTAAAAAAAAGGCACATTGAACGGAGTACTAGTGAGCTCTCAAGATTGAGCAAAAACTTGGGGTAATAAAGGTAGCCATTTAAGTTCCAATTGAATTATAAATTTGACCTGGTAACATTCATATTTAGATAGTGCCATTTATTTTGTGTACTTGCCAGTAAAAAGAATTGTTACTGACAAGAACAGTTTTTAACATTTCTGAATCAATAAGTTTTCTTTCTGTGTGGCAGGTGTCTTGACTGTAACCAGGGTCAGCCAATATGCTTCGTAAATGAGTTATAAATGATACCAATTATAGGGTGTGTTACTATCAGTTAGTTCTCTTGTGGGCTTCTTATTTATGGTTTTGATGGAACTGGCTTAGTTTTCAGAAACAGAATATTGAACCCAAGTTTGTTTAGCCAGCAGTACAGAACCAATCACTGTGAATTTGAACTTTCAATCCATCGCAAGATAGGAGACTTATGGTGTAACTTGAATTCCTTGTCAGTGAGGAATATAACTGAGATCACTTGTTACAAGGAACTTTTATAACCCGTTCACCTTCATTTCACATGTTTATGAGGACTGGCTTCACTTATGATTTGCAGTTGACAGTCATAAAATTCTTTGTTATAATGGCAAATTCTGATAACAAGTTTGTTTCACGTCGGCTCCAAATTCCACTGGAAAATGTCATAAATGTCCTATTTATAAATGAATCTCTCCATCCCTCATTAACTGAGTTCACATTTATGGAGACAAAGAAGTGCTTACCCAGAAAATTATTTTCTTTTAACCACAACAGGGGGGGCGGGAAGGAAAAGAAAAAAAGTGGCCTTAATGTAAAAAGTTTTGTAATGTTTCTATCTTTTTAGCAGAGCATTTCCCTAAGTAGATATATTTGCCGAACGAATTCATTTCAGCCATATTTTAAGAAGCGATTGCTAAGAATTGTTAGCACTGACTCTCTAGAAGTGTGGAGCTAAAAGGCTTGCTAGTGTCTGTTTTTACAGCATAGGTAAGATAACAGGATATGAACTGTAAATGCGAAATTCAGTTTCATCATTTAGATTTTCCAGCCAAGAATTTAGAAATATCTGTCCTCTGATCTGGGAATATTTAATACGTGCCCAGTTTATATTTTCTTCATTCTTTACCATTTCTTCTCTTAAGTTAAACAGTCTAGCTAACTGAAAATTTGCTTTGGTCCCTGAATTTTCCTAATAAGTTTTTCTTTTTAAACTGAAGTTATGGCTTTTTTTTTTTTTGTAATTTAAAACATTTGAAAGAAATGTAAATTTGGTCATTTAAAAGCAAATGTTAACTTCTGCCCTTCTGGGGAGGGAGTTGTATTGTCTTAAGTTCTCATTCTTTATTATTCACATGTAGCAATTTGAAGGAAATTTATTCCTTTTAAGGAGGTTATGGGCATAAAGGGAACGTGGAAATGGGAGTGTCACTCCAGATAAGTGGCCTGTCCTGGTAAGACCAGTTAAAAGTTGTATATGATACCGACAGGGTAAATACATTACGTTTGTATAATCACTGAACATGAAGAAATGTTAGCATCAAGGAAAGCTGTAAAGCTTGCTTGTGCCCTTTGTAAAATGGATAAAACAATTTCAGGCAGTGGGAAATCAGGGCGATAATTTTGGACTGTATTTCTTCCTTTGCCAAAAGTTTTATACCTTTCCTGAGATCCGTTTCGGCTCATCTATACAGGCCCTTCTAAAGTTTCTATTTCATTCCTCTGTCTGAGAAGCAGATCTGTTTATCTCCAGTGTTCAGGTGGAGACTACCCAAAACCACTTAGCACATTGGTAGCTTGTGGTGGCATTTCATGACTCGCACATCTCAGATTTGCAACAACAGAGCTCGGATGTCCATGGTGGGGGGCGGGTTGGAGACACTCATGTTGTATTGCTATTTCTGATATGTTTCAGAATGTAACTCTATGTGACCAGCTTTTAGAAAAATCTCCTAATCCCTCTTAAAAAGTAACAGCAATAAGTGGAAACTTTTTTTTTTTTTTGGCGGTACTGGGGTTGGAATAAGTGGAAAACTTAAGAAACCACTGGTGAACCTCTCCATGCTAGATGCTGTTGAGAGTTTTGCGTGGTCAGCACGTGACTGTTTGCCAGTTACCCTGTAAACCAAAAGCAATGGGCTGGAGGAGCGAATCAAATGTGTGTGATCGAGCACACTAGCAGACCCTCAGTTTCTTGGTCCACCTAATTAAGTTCCCCCTCCTCCAAGGACAGCTCATATATAACAGGAGACTAGGGACATGCTGGCTGACAACAGGGACACGATACATTAGTGTACGTGTGTAACGTCCATATAAAAATCATGTTTTCTGTTTTCTTGTGCTCTATTCTAGCCTTCGTCACGGCGGCTTGGATTATCTTGTGCCAACTGTCATACCACCACCACCACCCTATGGCGCAGAAATGCGGAGGGTGAACCTGTGTGTAACGCTTGCGGACTCTACATGAAACTCCACGGGGTGCGCCATTTATTCTACTCATTAGCGCACACATTTAGTGTTTGCTTTGTGCACAGTGGACCAGTTACAAAATGGCAAGCGAGAGGGCATGAGTGAACAATTTTGGCCAGGCAGCAATGAAACAAAAAAATGCTACCCATAATGTGGAACTGTGACACATTACACTTTAGAAATGGTGGTAACCATTTAAAAAAGCTGTACCCAAGGAAAACAACTAGAAATGCACAATGATTACTGCAGATCTTAAGTTTAAAAATTTGGAATGCAATCAGATATTTGTACAACTGACTAATGTGTTAGAAGGATTCTGTACTTCATGTTTAAATCTCACAGAAAAATACCCGTGTTACAGGTAGAAGATCTCTTTAAAATAAAGATATTTATCCAGTAATCTAATAAATATTTACTCTAATTTCTAACAAAAATTGAGTTGAAAAAATTAACTTCTTGGCATATCACTCCATTTTCTCTGAAGGAAGGGATCTCTATGTTTGATGGTTAAAGTGTAATCTTTGTATACGTGGAAAAATTGGATTGAAATTTCTGCCAAGATCTTTGGGGTTTTTTGGTAGAATTCACCATGTAGCCCAGCTGGCCTTGTCTCCTACCTCAGTGAGTGCTGGGATTATAGTGTGTCTGTCTCACCATGCCTGGCTCCAAGTGTTTTTCTTTTTCATTTTTTGGCAGGACTAGGGTTTGAACTCAAGACTTCATGCCCGCAAGGCAAGCAGTCTACCACTTGAGCCACAGGTCCAAGTTCTTTTGAACTTTTTTTCTTTTGGCAGTACTGGGGTTTGAACTTAGGCCTCAGGCTTTGCTAGGCAGGTGCTCTTGCTTGAGCCACTCCACCAGCTCTCCAAGTTCTTTCAGTGCCGATGTCTTCAGTTTAGTTTTTCTTCAATATAATACTTAATAAACTTAAGGCCTATGTGAACATTTTTTTAGGTGCCTCGACCACTTGCTATGAAAAAAGAGGGAATTCAAACCAGGAAACGAAAACCTAAAAACATAAATAAGTCAAAGACTTGCTCTGGTAAATATATAATAAAATGCCATTTGATTGTGAAGTATTTGTCAACTTTAACAGTAGTGTATGTATATTTATAAGGTTCGTTTTGACTTTTACAGGTAACAGCAGTAATTCCGTTCCTATGACTCCAACTTCCACCTCTTCTAACTCAGATGATTGCAGCAAAAATACTTCCCCTCCGACACAACCAACAGCCTCAGGGGTAAGTGCTAAAAACAATTAGACTTCTAACTCTAGTAAATTATCTTAAATTTCATCTTATCTGGCAGTACAGTAACCTAGTTAGTTGATATCTAATAATAGTTTTCGGGAGGAAATTACGTTTAAATGTTAACAAAGTAATACACTTAAGTACTTTACAAACTTCTTAATTACCATCTCTACCATTTTTATGGTTAAATTAACCCAAGGGGAAGAAAGTTTTGAATAGCTTTAGACAGAGTTTCTATGTACATGCATTTCTAATGAAGATCAAAAGACTACCCGATGCCTGGTTCTGTAGATCCCAGGGCCCACGACATTGAACTTGGTTTTGCTTATTACATCCTCTCCAGTTTTGTTTTTCTTTATTATCAGCACCCAAAGCAAAGCGCCTCTTAATGTGCTCTGAGCTGCTGTGTCCATGGATTTTTCTTCTCTCAAATGTCCCTTGCTAGGAGACCCTGCTGCCTTCCAAGGGTCAAACCCTTGGGACAAACCTGACAGCATGTGTGAGATACCAAGGTCTTTGTGAAGATCACAGGGCTAGTTTCTGTCAAGCTGTGATCAAAACTGTTTTCCTCAGCTGGAGGAAATTCACCTGGGGAATGCTCTTAGAAAGCAAAACCAAAAAACTTAACCTGGCTTTACTTTGGACCTTAGTGCAAGTCCTGGGCAGCACCCCTCGCACCCCTAGCGGGACTTCACATTTCTTTTTTGCAACGCTAGGGATGGAGTAGAGGGCCTTTGCATATATTACCAGAGCTAAGTCCCCAGCCCTCAGGCAGGATTCTAAAATGTGCCCCAGTCATGCCTTTTAGGTTTATGCTGAGACTAGTATAGGGCTGAACACTGGCATTTCAATTCTACTTACTTAGTAATTGTTTTCTGCATTTGGTTTTGTCTTGGAATTGTTGGAGGGGGGTGTCTTTAGATTACTACAGATTCCTGAGCCCCACCCTGGATTTTTGAGTCAAAGTCTCTGGGTGTGTAGCCTGGAAATTTGTGCCCCAGGTGAAACTGAAATTGCTGCCCTGGAGGTCTTTGGACCTCCAGGAAACCAAAGATCTGGTTTTAGTCATGGTTTTACTGACTCGCACAGCCAAAATTAAATGCTTAAAACAAAATACTTAAATTGCTTAAAATCATATTTGAGATTTCTGTTAGTCCCCTGGCCCAAATTCTTTTGAGCATTTTCTTTAGTGAAGTAAGTGGTTGATTCATTTTCACAAGGGAAAAAGAGTTGTTTTTGTTACAAATGTTACATGTTAAAGAATGCCTCCAGCTTTCAAAGGTGGATGCTGGTGTGTGATGTTTTGCTTGTTATTTTTAAATAGGATTACATGCAACTTTAAAGAATCTAAAGTGGTAAATGACCATGAGAAGGTCAAAATTATTGAATTATTCTTTCTTCTGTTCTAAGTCCTCAGAAGCAATTATATGGCTAAAAGAGACAAAACAATGTTTGGTTTTCCAAGGCACTGAGGAGCCTTCAGGGTTTTGGCTAGTGTCTGCATCTTGTCTCCCAGCCTAAATGAGGCTTTCTGCCAGCTCCCAGTCACAGTGTGGGTGATGTGTCCAGCCTAAGTGTGGCAAAAGCCTAATTTGAATGATAAACGGCAGAGAAATGGAGATCATTTGCCCAACAATGGGCTTTTTGGTGATTGGGAGCTGTTGTGGAAGGATTCAGGTTTGGGCTTGTGGTTTGTGATGTAAAATTTCAAAATTGGCTTTTAGTAAGTCCAATTAGTTGCCCTCCAGGGAACGGAGAATGAAAAAGGAATCTAGATGGACCCTGGTCTGGCTGGAAGTGGTGGGTCCCTGGAATTGTAGGCTGGTCCTGAGCTGCGGGTGTCCTGGCTCTCTCACCTGGGACTGAGCTCGTGCAGATGGCTGGCTAGCCCGAGCCCTTCAGCTTCTGGCTAGAGGGCAGGAAGGCAGAGCAATAAGGGTTTTGAAGGTTGGGGAGTTTGAGAGGTTTCCACACAAGGTCATTTTGCTGCAAGCTCCCATCCCTCTTCTAGCCTGGTCAGCCTCCATGAGATGTGGGAAGCAGTGATGGCTGGTGGGAGCTGCAGCTCCTGGAGATAAGGCTGGGTTGCAGAAATTTTTGGCCACATTCCCCAGGTCAGGGGGTGGAGTCACCCCCTCCCTTCTCCTGGCCTCACTTAGAGAACACAGGGCTGGGACCTAGGCTGGCAGGTTTCCTCTGAATGGTGACTCCATCATGCATGTCTCCATAGGCTGCTACCTGACTTGGCAGAAGCCTGTCTGCTGGCTCCCTTTGGACGCTGACCTCCTTCAAAGTATTTGTAGGAAGCTTGAGTGGTTTCCTCAGGTTGTTACCAAGGAGTGCCTGAGTGTGCCTGTTGGGCTCTTAACACTTTCCAGTGCCTTCTCTGGGTGGGCTGAGGCTTTGTGCATGTGGCATGGCTAGTGTGGCAGCTAAGGAGCTATGAAGAGGATGCTGGAGGAGTCATCTGTCAGCAGCTGGCAGAAGCAGTTTTAAAAGTGGCTGTGTTGACAAAGGTGTGTCATTTTCCCAAGGAAGCCAGCTCTGATTGCCTACAAGATTTTGTGAAATGCTATAGGTGAAACTATCAGATCCCCATAGCAAGGTTGAATCTGGTGTTTAGAAACTATGCATTGCATGCTGCCCTCTGCTCGGGACTTAAGTCTTCCAAGATAAGAGGACCACAATGCTGATTTCCAGTGCTTCCCTGGCAACTTGTAAAAGTTAGCAAGGCAGAGCTGCCCTAGTTTAATGGGGCAATTGAACAGCAAAACACAGGGCAATCTCAGGCCCACTCTCCAGAGAAGACGGGGACTGTAGGCCACCCATCATTCATTGAGAGATGTAAGTGGCAACATGTTTTCCTTTCTTCAGTGGTGGTGAGTCCCTACAAGGAAGTCACGGAGGTACATGCCACAGGCCCTGGTCATTTTAGTCCCGTCTTGAAGATTCAGTTGCAGGAGCTCACCAGTAGGCATTCCCAGCAGACTTCTTGCCCATGGCATTTGCATGGGGCACCAGGTTCCTGTGTTCTCTTGGCCCAGATAAAAGGGGCCCACAGGAGCTGGGGACCCTCACCTGGAGGGAGACCATGGTAGTTGTCTGCTCCTGGGAGCCTGGGCTCCAGGGCTTACCTCCCCAGAAGGAACAGAGGTGTGGACAGGACTCCCTAGCCTCTGGCATTGCTCCAGACAAGCATTGAGGAGCCAGGAAGATGATTTTTTGCCCTGCTTGAAGCTTCATTTCTCTAATTAAATTTTGTGTCTTAGCTTTATGTACTTGCTGCTAGTTTGTGCTTTAATGAGACCTCTGTCGGGAGAGGAGGCATTCTGGCCTGCCCGCTTTATGACTCAGTTTCTCTTTCTTTGTTATAATCTGTGCTTGTGTGGTGTGTACAGATTGGAAGAAGAAGGAGGGCAGTTTTTTTTTTTCCCCGTGCTTGGCAGTAGGAAGACTCATTGCCACCCAGCCTGTATTAAAATATTGCCTGCTTTATTTCTTTGGAATTCCTTGTGTTTGTTAAGAAACATGTTAAACATTATATATATATGTTTTGGTGGTGCTGGGCTTTGAACTCAGCTTGTGAGGCAGGCACTCTATAATTCAGCCATGCCTCTGGCCCAAGAATAATTTTTGATAGAATTTTTTTTCTCATAGATTTACTGAAAAAAATGTATTTAATTGAACTGAATAAACAGATAACAGATTTCTTTGGCATTTATTCTCTATGGTGTATACAAATAAAGTCTTTTTGAATTCTACTTGTTGACTGAGTTGTATTTTCTAGCTTTCTTTGTTACTGCTATTTAGGGAAAAATGTAGTAACGTTCTATTTCAGTTTTCAAGTGAGATTTGATAAACAGCTCATGATTGATCTTATCCCATTTATGACTTAAAACTCTAAAACTGGATATTTTATATAAACTTTGTAGCTCATCCCCAAATTTTGTAGATAAAGTTTATTTTTTTCTCCTTAATTTTCTTTGGGATAGAAAGGATTCATTTGGGTACAAAATCAGCAATAAGACCTAATGTCTGAGAATAAGGAACCATTGAACATAATTTGTCTGCCTTAAAAGAGTTTTATATAAACGATTACTTTATTTTTGTTTTTATTTTACCTTTTGGCGGCACTGGGATTGGAACTCGGGACCTCATGCTTGCTAGGCAGGCACTCTACCACTTGAGCCCCAACAACTTACTTAAAAGAAAACCTACTTAGGTCCCTACTAAAATTTCAAATGTGCATGGAAGTTAAACTTTAAATACTGAAGTAAACAGAGATGGCAGCTATTCTGCTATCCCGGGCTTTGTGGGCTGCTGTTCACAGCATTGCTCTGTGGGAGGGACTGTTGTCAACTGAGAAAAACAAGGTCTCACACCTGGAATTAGTTGTTCATGATGTAGTGGCCGTGGAGGTGGCAGTGGTGGTGGTGGGGGCAGGTATGGACGTGCATCTTATGGAAGGTCAGATTTGGAAGTGCTGTAAGTGAATGACAAACAAAATACTGTAGGAGGCAGAATGGCGGGAATGACTTCATGGAGTAGAGGAAATCTGAATTATTGGGAAGGATTTTTGCAGGGAAAAATAGGGGTAGAAATGTGTGGGAAAGAAGAGAGTAGGAATACGCGTAGCCGAAGGGAAAGGGTTTTAGGAGCTCCCTGTGGCTGAAGTGCTGGGTGTAAGATGGCAGAGGCAGGAAATGAGGTTAAGTAAAACAGGTGGAAGTTGGTATTTGAAAATATTTCAGCTTCCTAGCAAGGTAGCTGTAGGCAGGGCTCAAACGACGCTCAGGATGATGGACTTTTTCTAACCCCCCACTTCAGTGAGAAATCAGTTACAGCTTCTTGATTGGGAGCATTTCCATAACTGATGTCAACAAAGCCAGCATGCTCCATGCGTCTACTCATATGCCTGCTTACCATTAGTGACTGCTCAGAGCTGGTGACTCGCCCTTGTGGTGTGGGCTATGGTTTCTCTGCCTCCGGGG